TAAGAAGGGTAATATATTTCACACTTCCCCAAGTCAGACAAGATTATCTGAGATCTATGAGAGGTCCTAAAACAATAATCTTGGTTTGTGTGTTACACATACACATCAGACATGATCCAATGTAATGCACCTACCTGGCTGTGAGCATATGTATAGATAACACAAGGAAAATACTACGCTCTGCGCTATAACAATTAATACCGTATACTCCTCACAACAATTTTTGCTTTTTTTTTTTTGTAATTTCCCTTCCCATGGTTTGAGAATATTTAAATATCTTTTCTTCCATAGGTCCTGTCTTATGAAAAAAGTCAGTTTAAATATTCCAGTTTAGCACATATGCCTTGAACAACTGTGAAACACTGCAAAAGGTCACTGTGAGGAAAGTAACAGGCAAACAATTACTTTTAAGCTATTAAAAGTAAATATTTGTACTAAATACTCTTAACTCTTAGTTCCTGAATATAACCCCACTTCATTTAAATCAGGCTATATACACATTAAAAAAAGATGGGAAGCTGGCCCCTAGACTTTCAGTAGTTGACTCTTCATCAACAGTTAATGTTCAGTCCAGTACAGATGGACTAGCATAGTTCCCTTCTGTGATAGTAAGAGCTAATAATTTCACTTTTTGCATTGTTGTACATAGTTATCCCTTCATAAGTGCTAATGTGTAGTTGTTGTTTTCTTGTGTTTTCTGCAGACAAATCACACTTCACACCCCACAAACAATTATGATATAGAGCTCTAGGATTCTAACACTGATGGACAGAATCCTCTAGACTGAATTCCAGCATAGCAAGCCATTTTTCTCCACTATTACCTCTAGACATAAACAATTTAAAATTTGGAGAACACAATTCTTGCCACACTGAAACAAATAGAAAGGCCTAAGAAAGACAGCATTGTACCAAAGAAACGTGGTATCAAATCACAGTTCCTTAAAAGGGTCACTGATTCATTGCCAAATGGTAGCAGATTTCCAGTCTCTCAGATCAGATTTCCTGGTCTCAGCAGAAATCAGTGACAGAATCAGGGTATTTTCATTTATTTACAAATGTACTGCACTGGGGATGTATTATGCCGAGAACAAAGAGCACAAGGGTAATCAATTATGGGAGAACCCTTAGGCTCACTACCTCTGCCCTGGGTCAAGAGGCAGCTCAGCAACATTAATCTCTTCCCGGGGAAGGGGTGGGGGAGGGGCCAACACAGACCCACAAGCCAAAGCTGCATACAGATTTTTTTCTGCAGCTTCCTTTGACTCAGTCCAAATGGTCAAGTAATTATGGAGGCTGCTCTTGGCCCTGCTGTAGGTGCAGGGCTTACTATAGGTTGCACTTGTATGAACTGGAACTCTCTGGTCTGGCAACATCCGTGGTCCCGAAGGACCACGGGTATTCCAGGATCACAAACTGACTCTGTGGGGGTGGGGAGGCTGGCAGCCCAGTACTACGTGTGAGATTGTGTTATATGCATGGCACAGCTGGGCTGTGGTGGGTCTGGGGGGGGGGAGGGGTTAGGAGCCAGTGCACGGCTCAGAAGGGCTGCACAGGAAGCCAGGAAGCCCAGGGGTTGGGGACAGGGAAGGGGGAGTCAAAAGCAGGAGGAGGGGAAGAAATGACCTCCCCTGTTCTGGAAAAATCCCTCATCTGGGACAAGTCAGATCCTGAGGGTGCTGGGCCAGGGAGTCCAACCGTAGAAAAAAGTCTGGACCATTAGCTTCACACCACCGCCTCTGCATGTGGAGATTACCGGGCTCTATAGGTTTCCATGGGCAGTTTCAGCTTGCGTTACTACATCAAGTTCCATGAAAGAGAATGAGAAGACCTAAACTGAACAGAGCTCTTGGGGAGCTGAGTAGAAGAGGCCTCAAAAGTTTCCCCAACAATCATCCCTTTTGTAAGACTACCTAAAATAGTATGTTCTATAAATTAATTGGGGCCCAATCCTATCACTCTTGCTTATCTGAAAGCCACACTAATTTTAGTGAGATGCTTCTGGTAAATAAGGGAACCAGCTTTTGGACCTTTCTTCTGGAAGTCATCATAGAAGCAAGGAATTCAACCTTTGTTCAGCCATTAGATAATGGAACGTAACTGTTAGTCTCTTTCTTAAACAGCTAATAAAATACGTATGTTAAGAAAAAGAGTAGTCAACCCAATGAATTATGCATATCATTACTTCTAGGGAATGACTAACAGAAAGATGCTTGAAATCACAATCATATTTCTTTATATATAGGGCTTTAAACATTTTTGGGGGGAAAAGGGGAGGCTACTCAAGCATCTTTCTTTGCTGAAACAAATAATATTATTGCAAGGGTCTGTCCTGGGACCAATCTTATTCAACTTATTTATAAATGATCTAGAGAAAGGGGCAAAATTAGCAGATGATACCAAAAGGCTCAAGATAGTTAAGACCAAAGCAGACTGTGAAGAGCTTCAGAAAGATCTCACCAAACTAAGCAACTGGGCAACAAAATGGCAAATGAAATTTAATGAGGACAAATGTAAAATAATGCACATTGGAAAAAATAATCCCAGCTATACATACAATATGATGGGGACTAACCTGGCTACAACTACTCGAGAGAGAGCTCTTGGAGTCATTGTGGATAGTTCTCTGAAAACATCCCATACAGTGTGCAGCAGCAATCAAAAAAGCAAATAGAATGTTAGGAGTCATTTAAAAAAAGGGGTTAGGAATAAGATAGATTATATTTTATTGCCTCTATATAAAACCATGGTACGCCCACATTTTGAATACTGCCTACAGATGTGGTTGCCTCATCTAAAAAAAGATATATTGGCATTGGTTCAGAAAAGGGCAACAAAAATGATTAGGGGTTTGGAACGGGTCCCAAATGAAGAGAGATTAAAAGACTTGTACTTTTCATCTTAGAAAAGAGGGGACTAAGGGGGGATATGATAGAGGTCTATAAAATCATGACTGGTGTGGAAAAAGTGAATAAGGAAAAATTATTTGCTTATTCCCACAATATAAGAACGAAAGGTCACCAAATGAAATTAATAGGCAGCAGGTTTAAAACAAATAAAAGGAAGTAGTTCTTCACTCAGCGCACAGTCAACCTGTGGAACTCCTCGCCAGAGGATGTGGTGAAGGCTATGACTTTAACAGGGTTCAAAAAAGAGCTAGATAGGTTCATGGAGGTTAGGTCCATCAATGGCTATTAGCCAGGATGTGTAGGAATTGTGTCCTTAGCCTCTCTTTGT